CCAGTACAAAAATTACAGTCTCTGCTTAGGAGTTCACTCACGTATTAGTGCAGAGGTCTGCCTTTTTGATACAAAGCCCTTCATTCAGCCCATTAGACAATTTCCAATTTGATTCCAAGCCTGGTAGGTCTCTTAACACTGAATTTCCTCTGCATTTGTAATACATTTGTGCGCAACTAGGAAGCTGTGCATCCTTCTGCAGCAACAGGAGGATTAATAGTAAGAAAGCGGCTCTTACCCATATGCTTTCCAGAGGGAGGACAATGTTTTTGTCAACCAGGATAAAAGCAGAAAACGTACTAAATGTCATAACCTGAAGATAGAGGAGAGAAAAAGTTTTGCAGGAAGAAGCAATTTTTCTCTCTCTCTCTCCACTTTTCTTAACACCAACTGATATGGTTCAAAAAGACAAAAATGACTAAGTTTTGGGCTCTGCATCCTTCCATTTAACTCTGAAAGGACACTGAGTCTAAAAGCTTGCATCTTCTCTCTATCAATTGGTCTAATGAATTACAAATCTCTCCACTCTCCAACACTTTAGCCTTACTTTAGTGAAGTTATTTTGTTACTCTGTTTAAATCAGTAAGAATATAATAAAACTTAGAATATTGAAGCTTCATAGTACGCAACATTTGTGACATTATTTTTGCCTAAACAGCATTTTTGGAAAAACAATTCTCTTCTATAATCCACTGATAATAGGTGGTAGATTTAGAAATACTTTAAGCATTACAATTTAAGATAAACCTTTCATAACATACAACAGTCACCATGAAAAATAAGTATTTGACAGAGGTTCCTACAAGGTTATCTATCCGAGATATTAAGCAGTTAGGTATACAAAGCATAAAGGAGAAAAATATGGTGTCTCTGCCTCCAGCTGGCAACTGTTTACAAAATGCACTTAATTTTACTCAGACAAACAGCATTCTAGAAGTATCACCATTAAGTAGATGTTGATAAAACTAGCTTTTCAAAGAATAATTTTCTATTTTTGATAGGTCTTATAAATATATATTCAGCAATAGAAATAATGCCTAGAATCTAGATTCCACGCAGAATTCTATTAGAAGAAACAATGAATTCCCCAAGAAAACAACAACAAAGATGATACAAATATCAACTCTTTTTCTGGAAAGCTTATTCCTAATACTAGTGGCAATGAATTCAACAACGTGGGCAAGAAATATGCACCCGAGCCAGAATTGCAAGGATATTTTATTAGCCCAAAAGATATCTAGCAAGGCATTCTTTTCGAGTAACTGTAGAGATGATTTCACAGCATAGCTGCAGGGAGAATATTTGGGCTATTTTATTCCAGTAGGAGACAGGATACAATTGTTTAAAAGAAAAAAAAAAAAATCACTGCTTCTCTCATCCAATACGTGAGCAATGCTCATAAATACAGATGGCTATTCTACAGAAACAGACTCTCCGTCCCTTGCTTTTTTTCCCATCAGAACATACAAGAAGTTCCCAGAAAAACCCAGAGTTCAGCAAATAATTCTGTGTGGGTCATGACGCAGAGTGGTGCTTTCCTGGGCCGCTGTAAGGATGGATTTTGAGCTAGAGGCCGAGCTGGCACGGCGTTTCCCGCTGAGCACAGTGGCTTTGGCTGAGGTTCAGGGAAGACCAGGGGCTACTGAGGTGAAATCAGAAATGCTGAGGCTGTGACAACTGCTCTGCTACTGAATGACTACTACACTCCTACGTTATGAAATTACTTAGAAGCCAGCCTCTTCCCCTATATATTTAAAATTTGCGAATTACAAGGCTCTTGGCAGTTGTCTTAATATCAGTACTATTACAGAACTAATTTCTTTGCCATTCCACTTGTAAAATAGGTTTAATAATATGTTCAACTAATGGAACTATTTCCCTATATCTATATTCCACTTACTCTAATGCACTGAGGTGTAACTCTAGCCTCATTTCATTATCACTTGACTAGCTCAAGCACTTGGACGTCTTTTTGGATTTATTAATCCAAACCAGGATTTAAAGTAATTAGTTAGTTTAAACCAGGTTTAAAGTAATAACTATTTATGTATATAACTCCATGAATATATCCTTCTTTCTAAGCATTTTTGTCCACATTTTTTAAAGTAGACATATTTCATAATGCTTCTGAGCATGAGGTGCATATTTAAAATGTCTCAGCATTTATTCTCTAAGCTTAAAGAAATATCCCAGTGTTATTCTCTCTTATGAATGTTCAGCAAGCATCCTATCAATTCGAATTCATAGTAAACCTTTTCTTAAAGAAAAAGAATTAACTACATTAATAGATTCATAAAAAAAAAAAAAAAAACAACTCCTTCCAAGATCTTAGTATCAGAAGCAGAGACAGTTGCTAATTCCTTCACAGAGAACCACAATGACCAAGTCCTTTGCACAAGAAACCAGCCTGTTAGAGATACAAAATATCCTCACCATAGCAGAGTCTACAGAGAAGTAGCCAGAGCCTCTTGCCTAAGAGTTAAATGTGGACAACAACACAGAAGAGAAGGGGAACAAACAAACAGCAGGCATGAGATCATCCAGTGATCCCCATCCAGGTCTCATGTGAGGGCAGCCCTGGGAAAGATGAGGTCTTTATTCACCTACAGCCATTCAACTCCACACTGCAGGAGCTCATGTTCAAGTCATCAGGCCACAGCAACTCAGTGTGGGACCAACCATGGTCCCTTCTGTCAAAGTGATGGTATTCTGCAAAAAAGCCAATTCAAAAGCCCCAAATTACTGAAGTATTAGTCAAGTAATAGGGTACTCTTCCAGGAGAGAGAGAGACCTGGATTCTGATTCCTTCTCCAGGAACATCAACAGAGAGCCATTTGGGGAGTTTACTTCTTTCTTTCCTATCTTCCCCTCTCTTCTTACAGGCTAAGGACCTAAGCAACTCATCTAAGGCCATGCCAATGTCTGTGGTGATACAAGACTTTAAAATCAGGTCTCCCAAATCACTGGCCACTGACTTAACCACAGGGATTCCTCCACTGACTTGCAGATACAATTTTAGATGACAGGCTGGTTCACTGTGAAGCTCCAGCTTAGCAGCCAGTGGGTGTTCAGGTCCTTCTGGAAATGAGAATCATCAAGGTATATAAAAATTGATATTCACAATCATCAGATGCGAGAAAATGACAGCAGGCACACTATGAAAATTGACCGAAGAACTTTTAGAAATCTGTATCTGAGGATCCTGAGAACTAAAAAAAAAATCACACACACTGCCTGGAAGGCTTCCTGCGTAACCACTGGGTCAGCCTTTGCATGGTCACATGCCTGCAAACTGTTGAATGTTGCTGTGTTTCAGAGGGCACAAACTATCACCAGCTCTCTATGGTCATGCAACAAATTGCTGGTTTTATTTCATGTAAAAAAAATCTGTAAAGCTTCCCATGCATAAGAATAACCACACAATAACTACACAGCATAGCATATTTCAACTAAAAGCCTTTATACACTGTGATACTCAACCACACAGGTACTCTGTAGGCAGCACTTCAACAACATCAGCCTTGGCAAACTGAAAAGAGATAACCTTCCCTTCTTCCTCTCCTTTCTCCTTTGGCCTTGCCATGGTTCAGTTGCAAAGCAACTTTTAATCTTTCACAATTCAAACCTAAGTGGGTTTTACACTTAAAATAACAATGCCAAGCTTTCACCTGTGATTTCAAAGCCCTTACTGATGAAGAGAAGAATTAAAACTCTAATTTGTTGACAAATCTACACAGCAGCTTACTCGCTGTTAACCTGAAGGGCAGGGGCAGAGTCAGCAACAGAAGGTCGAGTACCGCCACTTTGTCCCATGTGCTGGGTTGCACTGCCAACAAGTGATGCAATGAATGGATGAGACACTAATGCAGCCTTTGAAAAGCACATTCAGTGTGCTCCAGACCAAAATATTAGGGCTGGGCACAGTCTGTGCTAGCTGAATTATTCAACATGTCTTTAACATTTCAGTTGCCAAGCAGTGCAAAGTGGAGGGTAGAAAGTTGTCTACCGAAAGCTTTCTTCTAGTGAGATGAGGCACTGCAACTGCCATAGTGACCACCAAGGTGAAGGAAAAAGCAGTGTAGTCACTGTGACAACATGGTCCCCTAGAATGAACAAAGACTCACAGCACACAGGAAAGGTCTGCTTGCTACTTATTCCAAGGCTCTTTCTGGCAGAGACATGGACAGTGTGGGAAGCACTCAGGCAACTGGGATTTTAGAAATGGGCTATAAAAGAAAACACTAAAATCCGTATCCTATCGGACAGAGTACAACCGATGTCACAAAAAAAAACATGAAACAGGAGAAGGTGAGGGTTCATTTAAAAAAAAAAGATTTATAATGATAAACATGATAAAAACATAGATATCACAGAATCACAGAATAATATAGGCAGGGAGGGAAGGGGTGGCAAACTAATTTACTATGCACCAGATTTTCTTACATTGCAAGAAGTAACCTCCCGTGCGAAACACAAGATGAATGGGTAACATTTCTCCAGCACTCCGGTGAGAGCCATCTTTCCTCTGATTCATGCTTGCACAGGGACAGCTCAAGTTTAAAGTTCTCATTCAGACACAGTTGGGTTCTAACCCCTGTGGTCTCTTTTCAGACCCAAAGAAACCCTCCCGGCATCATTAATGAAGAAGAAAAGCATGGACTGAGTGCATGGAAAAGCACTATATGCTAGCAGCGACGCACACATCAGTGCAAATCATTTTCTCCTTTCACCCAGCGCCACACACCAGCAGAGACAGAGCAAACTAGCTGTGTTCAGCCTGCAAAAGAAGGCCTTCATTTTGCAGAGAGGAATATCGTAAGTAGCTTTATTGGTTTACAGATTTTAAACACAGGTATTTTTCCAGGATCAGCTGATCTTTAGAGAAAGCTGACATTTTAATTTTTGAGTTACACAAGGAAAGAAAAAAGAATGCCAACTGATAACTTTCTGACACACCATTTATTAAAGACAGATGGCACTTGATTATTATACCTACCTTGAGGGAAAAACTCGCTCATTTTCTTCTTGAAAATTTTGTAGTCCACCTCCAAAAAGACGCAGAAGATGACACGATCCACCTGTAAGAAAGAAAATTATTCACAATAAAATGACCGCAACAACAGACATTGTCAATAATTTTTAGTAACAGCAAGGAAAATTTAAACTCCACACTGTTTCATGACCTGAGCAAGTGGAAAATATCACAAGTCATTTTTATTGTGTATTTGTGTTGTAATTTACAAAATGGTGTTTGTGATCACAGCTCACAATCATATGCTTTGTTAACCGCCTCCTGTTTATGCAAATCATTCTTGAGCACGGTATAAGCATCTCTTGCACCTGGATGCAAGGTTTGATGAAAGAATCACATGAGGGGCTTCTAATAAGCATACAAAAGAATAAATGAGTAAGCAAAGAGATCTTTTTCCAAACCTTGTCTGAGAAACCTTTTTGCAAAAGCATTTAGTATTTCATAATGGCTTTAAAAGATTTCATGAGGTTTTAATTTACATGAAACCACTTAGTCTTGCCATAATATAACGAGCAATGCAGCAAAAACAAAAGCTGATTGGATGACAGGTAGCACATGGGGTAAATAAAACATTTAATATGCCATCTACTCAGTGAGGCTGAGCATATCAATGAATCCACAATCCTAATGTACATGCCACCCACCAAAGATTTCAAATAAATTGCTTGGGATGTAACCGTATGTGAAAGGCTTTTCTAAAAGAACCAACCAACCAAACAAACAAACAAAGCAAAAAAAACAGAATTTCAAAGATGCCTTTAGGATTGAGAAAACAGTCACTAAGATTTTTCTCCAGCCTTGCTGATGCTTTATGTGTGTGCACAGCCCAGCACAAACCGCTTCTGTGGCCAGAGACGAGACCTTCCCGCGGCTGCACTTGCAACCTGGAAATCAGACTCTTCTTCAAAGTGCAGGAGAGCTTGACCAGGAAGGCATAAAGTCCAGGCAACGGCCAGATCAGCACCTTGCCTGGCATCACGCTCAGGTCTCTGTGGGTGACAGACTGGTGCGTTGCATCAGAGACTTTGCACTTACTGCAAAGAGCTGCAGGCTCCCCGTGAGCAAGCAGAGCTGCAGGAGGAATGCTTGCAAAGTAAAAATAACTTCCTTTCCCTTATCTTCACTAGAAATCATCGCCCTTTTGGTAGAGCTGCTCTTCAAAGAGAAGTACCCGTCTTGGCCTCAAAACTACCATCAGGCTGCAGAGCTCAAGCCAGCCTTCCAGCCTCCTTTTGGAGCAGCCCAAAGGGAAGGGCGAGGGGAAGGAGAGTGTGTCAAGAAACCAGCTGTGCTGGGAAATGCAACCCCAGAAAGCGGTTAAGTACAGGGCCAAAAAAGCATACTCTGTTGTGCCCCCACATATTTATAACATACAGCACCAGGCTGGCAAGAATTTAGAAAGCCACATTTTAGCTAGGGGAGGGTTTCCACCCAGATGCTTGTAGGACAGAGGCTTTAGACTGTGAATGCTTAAATTATATTTAATAGAGTGTCACCTTCCAGCTCCACCTCCCAAGAAAAGCAGATATTCAAGCCCTACGGTGGTAGGCAGAGATCTAGGACAGACAGAACAGCAAGGGCATGAACTTACGAACCAGAGGAGGAATTACATGAACGTGCAGAGACCTTCTGAGTTGCCTCTCCCTCTACGTGACTCCTACATTTCCTGCTGTAAACATTACGGGCATTTTCCACATTTTATGCATTTCAGCTTTTCAAGATGTTCTCTTTATTTTTATTTATTCTGTGCAGTTGACAATGATGAAACTTGTGCACTCCTGAGAATTCTTCCCTCTCCTAATATAATTCCTTCATTTAAAGATAGGGTATCTCTCTAGAAATGGCAGACTATTTCAAACTTTTCTAGCACACTGAATGCATACATCCTATGTAAAAACCTGTTTGATTTCTTCTTGGTATGTGAAAAAGTGCTCTATTTTTAAGTATGCATAAGATATTGTGATGACAGCTTGAATCCTTTGTTTATCTGATTGAATGGCATGTGTTGGCAGATAGTAAATCTGAAATTAAACCATATTCTATCATCCTGCCAGTCACTGACAATTTTATCTGACATCCACAGCTAGAATAACTTGAAATTAGGTATGGAAAGTAACCCTTGTCCTCAATGTTCTGATTCCAACTACAATAAGGAAAGGTTTAATCCAAGCGAATCCAGAATTCGCTTGCTGGTTGCCTAACAAAAGCTCAGCAGGCCTTTGGGGAACTGTGCTTATAAAAGCTCCTTATCAAAGGGGAAATCTCTCCCCTCGTGCTTGGAAACCGAACGTGATCAGACATTTCACGGTGCCTGCTTGCTGAGGGATGGGGAGCCGCCCCCAGGGGCTCTTCCAGTGCCTTTGGTGGGTGCTGGACTCTTCCACAGCTGAACAAGGAGCACTCAACTGCAGAGCGGGGTTAAAGGAGCCACAAGGGGAAGGTATTAAAGCTCATCCTTGATTGACAGCTCTTTTCTGGAGGCCAGGACTGGAATCAACCCTCCCCTGTCAGCCCCTGATTAAATTCGGCAGGCTTCATGGCTATGAATAGGTAGATCAAAGAACCACTGAAATTAGGAGCGCTGCAATCCAGGAAGAAGGGCCTTTCACTGCATGAGCTGTTTGCTCTGGAGGCAGCTTCACAGCCAAGGCTGTGAGGACATTGATTTTTTTCTTATTTCCTCAGTACTATTCGCAAGGCTTCAATTAATTAATTTTGTGGGGGGTACCTTGCCTGTGATGTGCTTAGCGGCACCTGATGGGTATCAGTAACGTGCTGGGGCTTCGCATGGCCTGGAGGGCTCTGGCTATTCTGCAGTGGAAGGGAGCCTATGCCAGGCATTAACCCCAGCGTTTCTGAAGGACGCTACAAAAACTTAAGAGCAGAAAACCCCTCCACTGGGTACCGCTGCAATGCTGGTCTTGGCACAAGAAGCCTACGGTCTGCAGCTACAGCTAGATATGTTTAGGAATAGAAAATGACCTGTTTTTTTCCCTCAGATCTTCCATTGTGGCTGTTGGCAGGTCGCCTGATTCCTCTGTGTGTGGAATGGGGATAGGATGTAGATGGGGATAGGAAGACCTGGTGCTGTATTTGTGCATCACTACAAGGAGGTATTGCCGTGCCTAACGGACAGGACACACTAAATGCAGTTATAAATATAGCTTATATTTATAACAGCGGCTCCAAGCTATACGTCTCAAACATATTTTAAATAGAAAACTGATCAGAAGACATTCTAGAAAATTTTATGTAACAAGTGTTTCCATGTCATTGCCACCTTGTGCTCTGGAGAAAATAAAATAAAATAAAATAAAATAAAATAAAATAAAATAAAATAAAATAAACCATAATGAAAATAAAAGCAATTGCATTTCAGCACTTTCACATATTTCATGCATCTCTTCAGTACCAGGAGACTGGTGCTGGAGGTACGATGAAGGCAGTAGCTCTTATTTATCTTGGAGGCAGTGACTGTCTCTTATCATATGTGGCAACAAGTTTCATCATTATCTAAATCTTGCCAAAAAAACACACAATAGGAAAACAATTGTGGCTTGTAAAAATGTTTTCCAATCCCATATCAGATTAATAGTAACAAATATCAAAGAAAATCAGGAAGCATTCTGTTCTTTCTGCTTGTAGCAAATCTTTTACCTAATCCCATCAGAATCTATTGTCATCAGGCAGTAGTTAATGCCAAAGGCCTGCTGTGCCTTTTTTAGTTTATCAAATATGCTTAATTCAAAGCTCAGTAAGGCCAACAAGAGGCTTTTCATTGACTTCAGCATGCTTGCATCAGCACCTATGCTTGGCAATGTCTAGAAATAAAACTTGCCTCCTCAAGAATTAAGTTCTGATATTCAAATTTTAGTATCCGAAATCTTCAGATACTTTCTCAAACATCCTTAGTAGCCACGGTTCTTCACTATCTGTACCCCTCAAGTCTCTGAAGCTTCCCTTCTGTCCAGCTGGAACTGCTTGAGCAAGAGCGTGCTGGTGCTGATCAATGGACACAAAGTCTTGGAAATCAGCTTGGCATCAGACATCACCCCCACCTCTTCCTCCAGCTCCCTGAGGGCTCTACCTTTGGTGAGCACCATCCACGTCTGTCCCGTTGGCCAGCTGCTGCGGCCCAAGCAGAAAGAAAGGTCAAAGAGGACGGACTAGTTCCCACATCCCACTTGGAAACAAACCCTGAGCAAGACTGTAAGCTCTGCAGAGGAGAAAGCTTCAGACCATATAAAAGAACTGCTCATTTTGTAGAAGTTCTGTAAATTAAAATTTAATTTCCTGATATTACTAATTTCACAGAAACCATTAAAACATTCAGCCTAGTTGACAGCTCCTTTCGGGATGACATCATGGTCTATAATTGCAGAAAAGAGCTTCAGTCAAGTATTTATGGTAAACACAAAGTACAGGCGCCATTTCCATCCTCATCATAAGATTTAAGCAGGGCAGAGGTATCAGAATGGCGATATGCTGAATTTGACAATCAATGAGCTGTGTGATTGTTTTCATAAAGCAATTCACCTAGCCCTAAGATCTTTATACCTGGCCCTACTTCAAATCCAATGCAAGCCAGAGCCAAAACATGCTCACGTTCATCTGAATTTGCAGCCACCCAAATGAGCTGGATGTAGAGCTTCATGCTCTACACCTCCTTCCAGGGGAGGGAAAAAGCTGCACTCTTCCACTGCAAAGCTCTTTGACTTTAAGGGGTTTAAGTTTCAACATTCTTCAAATCCAAAGCAAAAATTTGATTAAAAATCCACATTGCGGCAAACTTCCTGTAAGTCATGGTATTATCAGAGCATTATGATTTCACATCAAGAACAACTACTCATTGAAGATACTCATTCAGCTACTCTTATTTGAACCATCATATTAGACAATCATTAAAAGAAAAAATAATACAAAATATGTGAATTCTGAAATGATTTATGCTTATTGCTGGAGTGGAATGTTTTCCATGGTGGTCTTACTGAAGTTAAAAAACAGAAACAGAAATGTTTTTATTAGTGCTTTAATAACCTACTTCAT